GGGAGAGGAGGGAGGGGGAGCAATGTTGGGAGAGGCAAAGAAGTAATAAACCCACCCAAGGGGATCACAGAAGCTAATCCAGGACATGGGATAAGTATCCATAGTCCCTGTTTAGACCATACTTAACACAATCCAGTCTGTGGATGATTTCTTGTTCCACAATTTTATGTTCATTTTTAAACTTTTGTTGTCTAAGAACAGCTACTCGGAGGTCAGTGATGGACTGTCCAGAGAGGTTAAAGTCTCTCCTGCCACAGACTTGTGTATCAGACCTCAGCCATCATTAGGAAAAGAACATTGACCTGAGAGGAAGCAGGCATGACAGTCCAAATTTACTTCTGGTGAAACCTCACTGCCCCCCGCACCCCCCCCCAAATTACCTGGCCTGTTGACCTGAGAAAATATATTGAGCCTGCATTCACAGTATGAGTCTGAATACAGCCTCTTGATATAAATGATGTCTTTATTCTCTTGATGTAAATAAAGTCAAATCAAATGTCAAATTACAGTACAGTAAACTTTAACACAGAATCGTCAGCATTGCCTGCCTTTGTTTACTGCAGCTGATGAGTAAATGATGACGGTTCACATGTTTTTTATATCTGTATCTTTATTTTTCTTTAGGGAATCACTGGAATGTGCTCAGAGTCATCTTTAGCCTAAGTGTGTATCCTGTGCTTCTGTTAAGAAGTACTTACCCATGTGAGCGTGCCATTGCCTTCCACTGGATTATTCATGGGCACAAATTCTAATTCAGGTATTAAATGTTCACCACGGTGAGTAAGAATTAGACGGTTGGGTTCACAGCACAGTGTCAAGAGGGCAGTTGGTAGATAATCACACCTCCAACTGTTTTGCCTGTGTGCATTTAATATAATCTAACTAGTACACCCCAGCATTTCTCTGCTCTCAATTAGAATGGCTACAGGTAAGATCATGCAGTAGACTGGACCTTTATCAGCCTCTTACCTTCCAGTTACCATAGCATTTGTCATTGCTCCCATTCTAGGCACATTCTAATATGCAGCAACATAAATGCCCCTCTGGGCTAAGCAGCCACTTTCTAATGGCACGTTACGTGACATGTTGCTTTGCAGTTCTCTGTGCTTGCTCCGTAATGTTCTGAGCTATCCTAAGTTGTGGATGTTTTTCCTGTCTGGCCTAGCTTGGCGACAGAAGCACAAGCACCACACTCCTGATAAGTGAAATAAAACAGGGCCAGTTGTTCCAGGTTTGACGCAGTTAAAGCACTTTTTATTCCACTCAGGTCAGTGGGAGTACTCACGTGAGTCCTGGCTTTGCAGGAGCTGTGACCCGAAAACAGCTGGGGCTGCCCCTGTGTAACTTCAGCCATAGTTTGGCCTGCAGAATCCTTGTTGCTGATGATGATCATTAGCATTAATGGCTTACATCAGATGTCGGCAACCCCTGGCACATGTGCCAGAGCATGGCATGTGAGGCCATTTTGCTAGGCACGCCATTGCCAGCCTCAGCTCTGGGCAGCTGCTGTCAGCCACGGAGGCCAGGCTGGTCCCAAAGGTGACTGAGAGGCTGCAAGCCCTGCTGCAAGCAACCCAGGCCTCATGGCAGCCAGCAGCTACCCAGAGCCTGGGCCGGCTGTAGCCGGGAGGCTGCAAACAGCTGCACCGGGCTCCAGAGCCCTGGCATCAGCTCCATACCACTGGTGGCTGTATGCGTTCCTCAGAGTGGACAGCAGGGCAGGGTCCTAAGGGAGCACAATCCCAGCTCCTCCCACACCATCTGCTCTGAGGCACATATGCACCCAGCAGTGGTAGGGACCTGATGCCGGGGCTCCACAGCAGGGGCAGCACCAGCCTCTTCCCAGTGGTGGGGTCTGTGCAGGGCTCCATCCCTCCCAGCACCGCCGCTGCCCATCTGCCCTGTGTAACTGAGCCTGCCCTGCTCCTGCCCACTCTGAGCCCAGCCCCACCACTGGGAAGAGGCTGGTGCTGCCCCTGCCAGGAGCATCACACCTTTGTGGGCTCAACCTTTGTGGGTGGGCGGCAGCAGTGCTGGGAGGGTTGGCTACACGGGGGCTAAGGCAAATTTTGGGTTGTCTATAGACACCCCAAGCCTCCGCCAGTGCTGCCCCTGCAGCTGGCTTATGGACGGACCAGAGCCGGGGCCTCAGCATGCCACACCACAGCCTGGGGGCTGGCTCCCCAGGAAAGCACAGGAGCTTCAACAGGCCTGGGGCATCGTCAGATCGGACTTTGTCCTGCGGCCCAGCAGCCTAGCCATGCGGTCCCACACACACACACACACACACACACACACACACACACACGTGTGTGTGTGTCTCTGGTTGTGTCTGTGTGTGTGCATGTGCATCCGTGTGTCTGGTTCTGTGTTTCTGTCTGCATGCATGTGTCTGGTTCTGTGTGCGTCTGTGTGTGCATGCAGGCACGCGTGTGTCTGGTCCTGGGCATGTGTATGTGCATGCATTTGTTCTGGGTGTGTTTGTGTGTGTGTGTGTCTGGTTCTCTGTGTTTGCGTGTGGGTGGTTCTGCGCGTGTGTATGTGCACGTGTGTCTGGTTCTCCATCCATGTGTATGTGTGCGTATCTAGTTCTCTCTCTCTCTTCTCTCCTTTTTTCTCTTTTTCTCCTCTCCTTTTTCCTCTCTTTTTTCTTCCTCTTCCCCTCTCTCTTTTTCTCCCCTTTTTGTCTCTTTCTCTTTTTTCTCTCTCTCTCTCTCATCACAACACGATTAACAAAAAAATTACACAACAACAAAGATAGTACGTGACGTTTTATTTATTGTCACCAGGTTTAGAATTTTTAGAAAACCTGGTATTTATGGTTTAAAAAAAAGCAACATTTATAATTATTAACTATATTAATATGCAGCACATCCTGCCATATACCCCTCACCCTGGTTTTGTTTTCCTCACATGCTGGCACCTTACAAGGTAGACGTTGTGATTTTTTCGGCACTCCGGCCAAAAACGTTGCCTACCCACGGCTTACACCAAGCCCAAGGCCTGCCACAAGCCACCTGTTTGGGTCCAGTTGTGCCTGAACACCTGATTGGCTCCAGGAAGCCAGACCTCAGGGTATAAGGGCCATCCTCCCGGAGGACCTCAGCTACTCAGTGCCAGCAGAGCTGGCAGCTCTGCCCTGCTCACTGCAGTTGTGAATTTGCCTCCTGCTCCTGCCCTGTTTCCTGCATTCCCTTACCTCCCAGCTCCAGTCCTAATTCCTGTGCTCCCAGCCCTCAGCTTCTGCCGTGGTCTCTGCATTTACCTTGCCCCCTCCCCAGTCCTGACCTAGACTTGGGATTCCTGGCCCTGTCGCTGACCCATAACTCTTCAGCCCATTTTTCCATTTCCTCACCTTAATTTGACTCCTAACTAGTTCCTGACCTCAGCTCCTGACGCTCACTCCCAGGGCAGGTTGCCTGCATTCCAGATGCTTATCCAGCCTCTTGAAAACCTCTAAGGAAGCAGATTCCATGGTTTACCTGGACAGCTTATTCCACTGTCCTACTAATCTTACAGTAAGGATGTTTTCCCTGAGATTTTATCCAAATCTGCTTTGCTGCAGTTTAAACCCATTGCCTCGTGTCTTGCCCTCTGTAGCAAGGGAAAACGGTTAGCTGTTCTCCCTCTTCTTCATGGCAGCCTAAAAAGCTGCTGTTACTGTCCCCTCTCTCCAAACTAAACATATCTGCTTCTCTCCCCCTTTCCTTGTACAACTTGGCTGTTTGAGAGAGACAGGGCAGAGATTTATGAAGCTCAACTGATTTATCTTGTCCAAAAGAAGAGGTGATTTGATTAGGGTCTATAAATATCATCTTGGGAAAGAGATCTCTATAGGCAGCTCCTCAATCTAGAAAAAAGAGGTAATGGGTATGACTTCAGGGCAAAATGCAGTGCTGTGCAGATACCCCAGGTTCACTTTAAACCATCTAGCTGGTATACAATCCACACAGTGCAAGACAGTGCCATGCAGAAATACCTAAGCCATGCCAGCATGCGTTAGCTTCAGAACTGGAAGCAGTATAGACATATCAGCAAGGTGCTGTCCCTAATCTAAGTAGTCACCTAATACCCTGGATGCAGTACTATACTGATGCATCTGTATGCCTTCTATTTGCAAAGCTAGCATATGTAGATCTAGTTCTGGCCTAACACTGTCTTGCACCATATAGACACACCTAGTGAGACCAATAGCTGGAAGCTGTAGCTAGAACATTTGGACTAGAAATGAGGTGCAGTATTTTTTGCATTGAGGGCAACAAGCCTCTGGAACAGATTGCCCAGAGATGTAATGGATGCAGCATCACCTGCTGCTTTTAGTGCATTTCTACAAGGCTCGAGCAGCAGCTATGGCTTGGTGCTGCATGTGCTGGGTAAGGCGCAGTTTGCAGGGGTGACAGTTTAAAAAGTTGACGCAGATCCTCAGCTGTTGCTTATCAGTGTAGCTCCACAGAGTTCACTTTACCTCAGCTGAGAGTCTGACTTCACTTTCACTTGTAATAGTCTTGATGTGGTCCTCCCTGGCCCACAGTACAGGACACCATCTGAACAGCTGTTCTTCAAGGAAGCACTAGACTTCAAGACTCTCAGAAGAGCTCCATCCCAACCACAGGATACATGCATCGCTGCATAAAGATAAACGGGTTCAGTCCAATTAGTAAGCACATGACTGTATGCAGATGTACAATTTGGGTAAGTTAATCTCACCAAGAGAACTGTTTCATTTCCTGACTTCTCTGCCTCTAAGGGCATCACCTTCCTGACTGCACAACCTTATGAGCATAAACTGTGCCAAACCTCAGTGCATTAACATAGATTTTGCATTTAATATCTATTACAGCAACGAGCTGGAGCACCGCTACTCATCTACCCTTTATTGAGCGTGATTGATTGCTGGAGATCTTTCATTTAACATCTCAAAAGCCCCTTGGGGAAGCAGTCTCATCTAGTGGTTAGTGCACTGCACAGCCCCAGCTCAAAAGGGGACTCCTCCAGGCCACCTGTAACAGCAACAATGTGACCCACTGGCTGCTCGTCCCTGCCTGGACTCCTTGGGGCTCCAGGACAAACCAGTGGCCAGAGAATGAGGACTGGCCATTACATCTCTTTTTTTCTCTCTCCCCCTTTGCTTCTTAAGCCCATCATTAAGTTTTTATCCCTCCATAACTTCTTTCTTGATTCCTCTCCTATTGCCTCCAGCTTGGCAGAAGGTTACGTGGTGTGTGAGCACAGGGGCATGGACTGGTGCCACTTACAACTGACCCAATGCTGGCTGGACAATTGCAGATGCAGCAGCTATGTTAAACGCTGTGGCGTGAGTAGGGAGGTAGTAAATCTGCATGAGCTGCTCACGGCAGTAGAAGCATGTTGCAAGGTTGCAGCAAGGGGAGGGTGAGCATATGTCATATGGTTTGCCCTGCCCTCATTTCTTCCTCTTTCCTCAGCATTCCCCTTTTCCTGAACTACCTTGGCCTTCCAAAGAAGCCTTGGCCCCCATTGAACGGGGGTTTTCCCTGAGAATTAGCCTGACCTATTGTGAGAGAGGCTGAGGCCTGCAGAGGATCACTGCTAGTTGGGGAGCACTCTTACTGAGTTTCCAGTAACTTTTGCTTGTGCTCCTGGTTGAAAATCCTGTCTCTAGCCGCTCACGGTTCCTAGTCAAGCCATTACGTTACCAATTGTTCCAGTCAGACAACAAAGCACTACAGTCTCAGAGTAGAGACTCAAGGACTCTAGCGAGGGAAGAATTGCATTACTCGAATTGAGGAGATAAATATATAATCACTCTGAACCTTTTGTTTATAAGCAAAGTCATTTGCTTCAACCAAGGAGAAGGAGTTCTGGGAATGCCTCCATTTGCTATGGAATAAATACCTTGGCCCTATCTGTGCTTTGTGGCAGGTGCCAGTGAGCTCCTCTGCTGGGCCGCACGGTGCCAGTGAGCTCCTCTGCTGGGCCGCACGGTGCCAGTGAGCTCCTCTGCTGGGCCGCACGGTGCCAGTGAGCTCCTCTGCTGGGCTGAGACACGGTCCTATTTGGAACAGGACTTATTTCAGTAAAACATATATTCATGAACAACTGAGCAAGTAAGATCTGAGGCACGTGGCTCTTTAAATGGCCTGGATACTAAGCTCCCAACTACATTATTAACACAATCCTGATCAAGGGGCTTTATTTATTGCACTATATTTATGTCATACTTAATTCATCCTGTGCTAGGGGGCTTTGTTTGGTCACCTAGGGGGCTGTGAAGGCATCCCCCAAACTTGGTATCTGGATTTCCTTCTTTTTTTTTTTTGTTTTTTTGCCGCCACGTTAAGCGTCACATATTGGCCACTGCTGTCGGTAGGATGATGGCTATATGCAATTAAGTTTTTAGGAGAGCTGAGAAAATTCTAGAATATAGATGTAACAGGGTGTTTTGGGTTCCCTGACCACACATGCATTCAGACATCTGGCCTAGGGACAGAAATTACATATAAACTGGTATGGCTACATACAGCTATTCAAAAAGCCTGAGCCTGAATCAATTCAATCTTTGCAGGTTAGTCTAACCTGCATAGATTGAACCTATTTGCATGTGAACAGCCATTCACTTTTGATTCTGGAAATGCAGCCACATGCCTGTGGTGGCTCAGGCCAGAAGCCGGTGGGGGGTGCTAGATTGAGCCCTCCCTTCCCTTCGACAGCAACCACAAGGCTGGAGGGAAGCTGACCAGGGGCGGGCAGGGGGTGGCCAGGCCCCGGCAGGCCACTAAGTGTGATTGGGGAGGAGTTTAAACCCGCACCTGGCCGGCAGGGCCCCCAGCCGGGATGTGCCTGGAGGGGGAAGCAGCCCTTGCCAGGCTTGTCCCGGGGGGGGGGGCCGACATGGTCAGACACCAACCCAGGCAGCGCCTCAGGTGAAGGGGGCAGGGAGGAGGATTAAACTCCCCTGTCTCCCCTCTGTTTCACCGGCACAGGGACCCCAGCTGGGCTCGGAGTCTGGCCATGCCCCTGCCCCTGCTGCTGGAGTGGGGAGGGGAGGAGGATCCTAACAGAGGCTGCTCTGCCTCGGCCAGGCAGACCCTGGCTGCAGTCCCCAGGGGGAGAGAGGAGGGAGGGGGGAATAAACCCCCTCCGTGCCCCTTTGCCCCCCCCAAGGCCATGTGGGTGGTGTCTGGCCACGCCCCCACCCCTGCTCTGGCTAGGGAGCAGAGGGGCGGGGCTAGACCTGCTCCCTGGAGCAGACAGCACAGCCCAGCCCAGGGCTGAAAAGCATGCTGGGATGTTGGGGGACTCTGATTTAACTTAACTCAGAAAGGGGTCTGGGACAGAAGTTCCATAAACCAGTTTGACCCAAATCAGTTAAGCCTGATATACTACATTCAACCAGGTTTACCTTAAACCAGTTTCAGCCATTTTGAAACTCGTTTATGTGCACTGAACTTATGTTCCATTACAGGTTTAAACCAGTTAAACCGGATCGCTTAAACCAGTTCACATGTAACTTCTGTCCCTAGCCTGTAAGTGACTGGAAACCAGTTCAAATCTGTAACATAACAGAAATGTGGTGCTCACAAACCACTTTTAAAATGGCCAAAATCAGTTTAAGATAAATCTGAATGGATGTAGGTGATATAGGTTAACTGATTTAGGTTAAATCGAGTTATTGAACTTCTGTCCCAGATGCCCTCCAGATTCAAGTTAACTCACAGTCCCCCAATCCCAGGATGTTTTGCACCTCCCCTGCAAACCCCACTTTGCGGGGTGGGCAGGCTAATTTTGGGCCAAGCGGTCTGCTCCAGCCAAGCAGGAAAGCATGCTCTAGTGCCCCCCCAGCTTCTGGCCTGGGCCACTGCAGACATGTGGCTGCATTTCCAGAATCAAAAGTGAATGTTTGTTCACTTGCCAGGCGTTAGGGTCCCGAAAAGTGGAGCTCTGCTCAGTGGCACACTTTGCAGCCAAACCAAATGAGTTTTTTTGCAGGGAAAGTGTGTTGAGTTTTTTATGACCAGAATAGGACCTGTAATTCTCCCGCTGAAGAACTCCCCTGTGGGAAGCAACAGTGATCCTGTTGCTTACGTGCTCTATAGTGTTTATTTTCCTCCCAAAGTTACCCACGGTTGCATAGATTTGGCAGCAGGGTATGTTGGATGAAACAGAAGACCAGGAACCGAGAGACCTGGATTCTGTTTCTAGCTCTGCTAGTGACCTTGGGTGAGTGACTTGTCTTTTCTCTCTTTCTTTTCTTCCTCTGCAAAAGAGGAATGAAAACCCCTTCTAGAAATTACTTTGAGCTTGCCGAATGAAAATGCCACGTAAGTGCTAAGGTTAATGCACAAACAGACCTTTCTGGTGTGGTGCCCTTCTAAATACAGCACAGGTTTGCTAGAGAAGCCAGACAGCTTCTTCCTGAAACAAATTGCTCTTCAACTATTGCCATCTTGTGGCGTCTGTGACCTGTTACTTGTTCCTTTTTATCTGCTAATGGTGCTAGTGCACATCAGAAATGTACACAGGCAATTTTAAAATGAAATGTAAATGAATTAGAAATGCCTACAGGAGAGCTATTAGCATAAATCCAATCAAAGGGCTTTGTTTAACTTGTTAAAAATGACTAAATATTTAGCAAGTGTGGGTGGGTGAGGTGATTCTTGCTTACACGACAGAAGTTTTAGAACCAACGCTACCTCCAATATCTAAAATGACTGAACTTATTAGCAATTTTCTCTCCTGAACTCTGCCTGCCTTGGCTTGTAACTCATTGTAACACCACCGCATATACAAGGGAACAGCCTCTAAAATATTATCATTCCTTCTAATAATATTCAGCTCACATGGCCATGAAACCCTGGAAATTTAGACTTTACAGGGAAACTGAAAACACCCTGGATATTGCAGGGTGACTCTGTGTAGCGCGTGATCAAATCCAAATAATCAAATGCTACTTGCCTTACCCCTGGAGCAGTTTCCTTGGCCCAGATCCATAGCTGAAGAAAACCAGTAGTTTGTGGGCCTAAGGCGGGGATAGACCTGGGGTCAGTTCCCTCCTCTGCCACACACTTCTAGCATGACTTTTGGCATATCATGCAAGATTTGTGTAGACACAGAAGTCATGTGGTTTTAATCATACTGTGCAGTATGAGAATTAATTTTTCCAGGCATAAGTATGCCAGTATAACTGCGTCTACACCAGCACTTGTACCATTATATATATAAAAAAACCCTCATGCTCCTAAATGACATAACTGTATAAAAGTTGTGCATAGAGTTGGCCTGCATCTCTCCGTGTCTGGGGTTCCCATCTGTATCAGGGATAACAGCACAATCCTGGCTCAAAGCGGTATTAGAGGATAAATGTGTTAAATGACTATTAGGTGCTTTGTGATCCTGTGATAATGGGGGCCATATACATTCTTTTACTTGTCTGGATAGTAAGGGGAGCAAGATTGGACTCCACAAACTGGACTATATAAATTAAAGTTGGTTAAAGAGAGAACCGGATGTTGATGCCAGTTGCACCCTGACTGATTCTTCTGGCTTTAGTCTTACTCTAGCTCTCACACCCAAGTCAGCAAAGAGAAAATTGGGCATAGGGTAGGATCATTCTTGGCAACATCCTTGCTTTCCTCAGAGCCTGAGCCTTATGAACCTTATGAACATGAGCCCTCAATGTGATGCTGCTGCTAGTAAAGCGAGCAAAATGCTGGCATGCATCCATAGATGTTTCTCAAGCAAATCCCAGGAATTCATTCGCCTGTTGTACTCAGCCTTGGTGAGGCCGCAGCTGGAGTACTGCATCCAGTTTTGGGTTCCACAATTCAAAAAGGATGTGGAGAAGCTTAAGAGAATCCAGAGAAGAGCCACGCGCATGATCAGAGGTCAGGGAAGCAGACCCTACGATGACAGGCTGAGAGCCATTGGACTCTTCAGCCTAGAAAAGCGCAGGCTCAGGGGTGATCTGATGGCCACCTATAAGTTTATCAGGGGTGCTCACCAAGATCTGGGGGAACATTTGTTCACCAGAGCGCCCCAAGGAATGACAAGGTCGAATGGTTATAAACTGCAAGAACGTTTCAGGCTGGACATAAGGAAGAACTTCTTTACTGTCCGAGCCCCCAAAGCCTGGAATAGCCTGCCATCAGAGGTGGTTCAAGCACCTACTTTGAACACCTTCAAGAGAAATTTGGATGTTTATCTTGCTGGGATCCTATGACCTCAGCTGACTTCCTGCCCCTGGGGGAGGGGGCTGGATTCAATGATCTTCCAAAGTCCCTTCCAGTCCTAACGTCTGTGAAATCTATGAAACCCATTGGATTCTCATGCTGTTTTAGGCTAGGGACAGAAATTGCACATAAACAGGTATAAGTAATTGAAAACTGGTTCAAATCTGTAACACAACAGAAGTTCAGAGCACATAAACCACTTTCAAATTGGCTGAAACCGGTAAACCTGGATGGATCATCCATCAGACTTAACTTATTTAGGTTAAATCTGTTTATTGAACTTCTGCCCCAGATGCCCTCCAGAATGCCTTGCACCTTCTCCACAAACCCCACCTTGCAGGGTGGGTGGGCTAGCCTTGGTCCAGCTGTCTGCTTCAGCCAAGCAGGGAGGCATGCTGCAGTGCCCCCTGCCCCGGGCTTCTGGCTTGGGCCACTGCAGGCATTTGGCTGCATTTCTGGGATCAAAAATGAACGTATGGCAAGCGTATCTTCTCTTCCAGGTTGGCTGATCTCGTACGGCGAGCTTTAAACTAGACTCGCTGGGGGAGGGGGCTGCAGGAAGACGAGGAGACGCCATCAGGGCAAGGGGTGCAAAGGTAAGTAACGATGGCTGCAGAAGCCTTACTTGGGGTCCTGAGGGCTTCTGGAAGCTACAGCCATGGTGATCCTGTAGCAGCGAGCCTTGCCAGAAGCTGGAGCATGGCTCTAGCTAGCCAGGAACTGGTTTTGGGTGGTGAGCACTACCGCCACATGAACTGGCCTGCTTTTTAGGTATGGGTTTTTTGGTTCCTGGATCTCCCAGGGTCAAACCCCTCTCACCCTGAACAGTGATGTAGTAGTGTGGGGAATGCCTGCATCTGTGGTGTGTGTCATGCACAGAGCTGTAGACAGGTGCTCAGTGCTGCACAGTGCATGTCCCCACTCCTCTGGACACTCCCCTTGAGTATATTTTAACAACCTTTTCTAACAGCAGGATGTTGGTTGCTGTGTTCCCTCTGCTTTACCTGTGGCTAGTTAGGTTGCAGTCTTGCGATTGTCTCAGGGTTGACTGTGAAGATTTTGCTAATAGGTTAGACAATGGATTTGGACTGGGATAATATTGCCTCAGGCAGGGGGTTGAATAAATTAGTGGTCTCCAACCTTTTTAAGTAGGAGATTACCTTTGGCATTTAAAAGCAACCCAAGATCTAACATGTGCTGCTGCCACCACTCCCCTCCCTCCACCCAGCAGGTAAGTCTGTGGGAAGGGAAGGAGGGGGGCTCAGATTGAGGCAGAGGGAGTAAAATTTATTTGGGTGCACCTCCCCAGCAGGTAAGTCCCACCCAGCCAGGGCCTCACTCAACTTACCCTGCTCCTGCTTCTGCTACACTATCCCTCACACAGGGGCCACAATCTAGCCCCTGCCCCTTCCCACCCTGATGGACTGACCTGCTGGGCTGGGGCACATGAGTGCATGAACATAGGCACTCAGCCCCCCCACCCCAGCCTTAGATCAACTCCAAGAGGCTCTAAGATCTATCTCAAGAGGCTCCGAGATCTACCGGTGGATCGAGATCCACTGGTTGGTAGCCACTGGACTAGATGATCTATGGAGGTTCCTTCGGTTCCTACTTCTCTACGATTCTAAAGGATCCATAAAAGTTTTAAGTGTGATGTGATTCAAGCAACTTGAGGAAGAAATATTACTACTGAAGCAGCATTTTAGATGGAGTCAAAGGGACATTTTATTATGCATTATTTGCATTATTTTAAATGCAGATTGTGAATAAAGAGGAGGAAGAGAAATGAGGGAATCAAACTGCAATGCAAATCTCACATCCAGGCCCACTTCACCTTAGTGGATGAGAAGGAAAATCTAAGTCTTAGAAATGCTGTATACATATCATCGCCAAGATTTAGGCATATTCTGAGTTGAGATATGAGATAGGGGGAGCTAAGCTGAAGATGATATCCAGATTTTAGTTATAAATGAGATGGATAGCTTTGTTATTTCAGAAAAGTGACAGAGAAAGGGGAAGTTGGGGTATCAATAAAATACATAGAATTAAGGAAGATTCAATGAAGGAAAGGAGGAATAGAATATATAAATGCTTTGTAAAACATTTTGACTACTTCCTGGAAAGGGCTTTCTTCAATATTTTGCGCTGCATTGGAAACACAAAAACCAATAAAATTACCTCCATCTTCCCCCTGCCCAAAAACAGGTGTTTTGTTTTACTCAAAATGTATTTTAGATTGGGGTAGTGACAACAAGTTGATATTTTGGAGGGAGAGGAAACAATTATTTTGACCAATTTCTATCTTAATTTTTAAACCAAAAAAGCAATATTACAAGTCTCACTGTATCAGTTACAATAGACAAAACCCCTAAATTATTCCTATCATATGCCCTTGGGGGGAGGTGGGTAGTGGAGTCCCCCAGGGCTCGGTCCTGGGGCCTGCGCTGTTCAATTTCTTCATCAGCGATCTTGATGTTGGGGTGGAGAGCAACCTGTTTAAATTCGCTGATGACACCAAAATTTGGGGGGAGGTGAGCACGCTAGCAGGGAGAGAGAGATTGCAGAAGGATCTGGATAGGTTACAGGGGTGGGCAGACAGGAACAGGATGCGTTTCAATACGGACAAGTGCAGGGTGCTGCACTTGGGTAGTAGGAACCAGCAGCACACTTATACGATGGGGAGCTCCCTACTTGAGAGCACGGAGGCGGAAAGGGATCTTGGTGTCATTATTGACTCCAAGATGAACATGGGCCGACAATGCGAGGTCATGGTTGGCAGGGCTAACCGGACCTTGTCGTGCATCCACAGGTGCATCTCGAGTAGAGCCAGGGAGGTGATCCTCCCCCTCTATGCGACGCTGGTCAGGCCGCAGCTGGAGTATTGTGTCCAGTTCTGTGCGCCCCATTTCAGGAGGGATGTGGACAACATGGAGAGGGTCCAGAGGAGGGCCACCCGCATGATCCGGGGACAACAGGGCAGACCCTACAGTGAGAGACTGCGGGACTTGAACCTATTCAGCCTCCACAAGAGAAGGCTGAGGGGGGACCTGGTGACCGTCTATAAACTCACTAGGGGGAACCAGAAGGGTTTGGGGGAGACGCTGTTTCCCCTAGCCCCTGCTGGCATAACAAGGAATAATGGGCACAAGTTGATGGAGAGGAGGTACAGATTGGACATCCGAAAAAACTACTTCACAGTCAGGGCGGCTAGGAGCTGGAACCAACTTCCAAGGGAGGTGGTGCTGGCCCCTACCCTGGGGATCTTTAAGAAGAGGCTGGATACTTACCTGGCTGGACTCATTTGAGTCCCGTTTTTGTTTTTAGGGTGAGTGGTTTTGTTTGTGTTTTTTGGGTTGTTCTCCCGCCCTGGCGGGGGGTCGGGCTAGAAGATCTATTAGGTCCCTTCCGACCCTGAAACTATGAAACTATGAAAAATGAATGCCTGTTCACTTGCTTATTGGTTCAATCTACGCAGCTTAGACTAACCTGTGAAGATTGAATTGATTCAGCCTCTGGCTTTTTGACTGTATGTACTTAGCCATACTCTCGACAGAGTAGAGAAGGATTTTGGCTAGAGAATTTCCTTAGAGTTGCTTAATTTGTTTAAATAGTATGATAATTATGTTGATGCGCTTGGAGGAGAGAGGGGAGGAAGCAGCTTCTCCAGAAAGCCATGCTATAAAGATCTGAATGTGTAGGAGTGAGAGCAGCAGGTAGCAACTTGACTTCTAGGATGAAAAGCTGTTTGGGGCCAAATTCTCCAGGCTGGGTAGCTGGGCTGCTTAGAAGTTGGAAAGAAGAAGAAGACCTCAGCTCAGGGTATTCAGTATCTGCCAAATCCCCCTCCAAATCACTACACACTGGGATAACCTGACACACCAACTTTGGGTAACCACAGGATCGACCCTGAATGCTGCTCCTGGCTCCCTGAATGCTGCCACAGAGGGTCCTCATGGATCGGGGCTCTGCATCACAACATGGATGCTACACTGAGTCCCACCACACTCCTATACTCAGGGGAGTTTGCATCCACAAGAGCAGGGTTTGCTTTTGACATCCCATGCATAAATGTGCAAGAACAGAAGTGAGAAGCCATGTCAAAGCCCTCACAATCCCTGCAGAGCTTGGGCTCTGCAGAAAAAAACAGCTGTGTTACTTCAGAAACTCATGCTAATGTGAGGTGCATATTCAGGCTGCATTACTCTTAAGCAAATTAAATATCCATGAAGACTAGGATGTAAAGAAGCAGCCAGTCCCCAGAGATACAGAACAAGCTAGCCCTTCAACAGAATATTGCAGCTCCTTCCTGGGGTGGTTTCCTCACCTCCGTTCTCAGCCCCTGGTTCCTAATAGAAGCATCACTTGTAAAGGTATCACTTGGTTTTTCTCTGCTGCTTTTCTGACTCCTTGCTTCTCGAATGTGCAAACAGCTATCAAATAGCAAATTAGAGGAGAAAGTCAGGAAAAGGTCAAGCCTGCTATTATATTGTTTTCATTAGTATTTTGAGCTTTTGTCACATGTATAGCTTCCCCCCACCCCAGTGCCATTCACCACATTTCTTCCACTTTGCATGATACTCTAATTTGACTTGGGAGAAAATGGTAGGATCACTTCTTGCTGGGAGTGCAACTGCTAGGAAACCTTCACGAAAAAAGCACATCTCCAGAGCCACAAAGTATGCAGTGTCTATGCCCTGCCTTGCCCAAAACATGCAGATCTGTAATCAGGGCCAAATGCACATAAGAGGAGAGAGGCATGCTCCAGACCAACCACAACGATGAAGATTTCTGCATGCTGAGTCCCCAGCATTGTAGGGAATACTCTACCCAATGAAGCATTGGGCACTCATCAGTGCCAAGCCAGTGGGACTGCTGAGATGTGCTGACCCTGTCACCCTCCCCTTCCTACCCACTTAAGCAGTGTTGCTCCCTTGCAGAAGGGAGGTTGAAGCCATTTTCAGAAGCTGCCAGTTCTTCCCTTGTACATCCCCAGCATATGATCTGCATGGGCCCAGCACACAGCTATATTCTGGGAAGTGGCTATCTCCTCCTGACACTCTGGGTTCCCACAGCTATAATCTCCCTGTGATTCTTGATCAGCCCTCCCAGCTCTCAAATCAAGAGGTGATGGGTTTTTTCTCTAATGACCCAACCAGGATCCGGAGATTGTGGCCTCATTCATCACTTCCAGCAATAAGATCAAAGAGTAGCTGAACAGGACCAGGCCTGTGAATAGTCTAGTTCTCCAAAGGAAAGTGGAGTCCCACCCTGGACAAAAACAAGCCTACAACTGATCATAAGACAGTGGACTTGGAAGTTCAGAGTGAAAGGGGTTCCAGATACAAACAGATTGGAAACAGAGGAGGAAAGAGTAATAGAGTCCAGCAATGGAAAAATGTCGATGGATTAGAGATGCAAAGTACGTGGACAGACATAACAATTAAGGTGTTTCAAAAACCTCTGAAACGATTCAAATGGCAGCCATACAAAATGTTCAACCCTTTGCAAAGTTTCAAAAGGGGCTGAAATGCTCCAAAATTGGCACCTCTTTACAGGAAATACTCTTTGGGGGTGTTTCACTTTTGGTTGTGTGTGAATGGAGGATGGAGGGAGATTGGGGAGAATAGTCTGCCAGCTGTCTAGCTGCTGGGTCCCACACCAGGTCCCCAGTGTGACCCCTACACTTTCTTCTGGGACCCCTTCCAGATATGGAGCTAGGCTTACCCCTCCAACCACCCCTGCTGACTCCTAGAGCCCCACTACCACTGGAGCTGGTCCCTCTAGCCCCATACCCCCTACTTCTCTGCTCAGCTGAGAGAGGGAGAGACAAGGTAGAGGGGATTGGAGCTCAAGTGTCAGATTCCCGTTTTAACCCGGGGTTGTTACCTGTCCTCTCTGCTCTCCTCTCCCTTCTACCTTCTGTCCCTGCAGGTTGCTGCAGCGTGCTCTAGGGCCGCTGGCTGATGCTAGAGAAGGCTGCAGCATTTTGTAACATTCCAGCTGGGAACAGCACAGGGGCGTACATGTGCCCTCTGGCTAAAACATTTCCTTTATGAAACATTTCCAAGTGTATTTCACTTGGAAACGTTTCAATTATTATGTCTGTCTGCACTCGCAAGACTTTTTATATTTCAGGCATGGGTGGCTGGTTGTTTTTTAAGTGCTGTAGAAGGGTGTAGATGGCCTTGGAGACTGAAGTATTCTCTCTATGCTGTAGCCACAGACGAGGCAGTGTAGTGCAGTTTCTGCATGTTGTCCCCCTGAATCCCTCTGGCTTTTAATTGAAGAGAGACTGCCTTTAAACGTGGCTCCTAGCAGGGGCAATTGCCAAAAGGGATGTTTGATATGTTGGTGCTGGCCACCCATATTTGTACTCCTCCACTGGGTACTATTCTCAGACCAGTGATCAATGTGGCATGGGTTTGATGGAACTACTGTATGATAAGAATATTCTCTGGTTGCCACTAAAGTGGGACAAATTTGAGCCAGTCAGAGGTAGCCATGCTGCAGCCTGCATACCTAGGAGAAACCAGAGATCTACAGTGCAGTTCAGAATGGCCTTGTTGTCCAGGGTTATGTTTCAGAGGCGAACAAGTCCCCGCATCTCCATCTGGATCACAGCAGCTTGATGGACTACTTCATACTGGGATCTATCATCTCTGTGGGCCACTTATCCCTATTAAGCAACTGTGTGTTTGAATCTCTTCCATTTTATGCAAACCAGGTACACCCTAGTGACTTTTGGAGAGTTCCCAAAGCTTACTCATCTCCAAAGAAGATAGCCTGACAGTTAGATGAAATGGGAATTTTGGCATTTCTAAAGTTTAGTGCAGCAGCAGCTGGATGAGACCTTAGTCCCAGATTCTCAAAAACATGTATTTAGCTCTTATTTAGGCACATAAACACCTTTGAGACTCTGAGCCTTAGTCCTGAAATGGAAAGAAAATAATATACCTGTGCCTGCTAGCAGCAGATATTAATGCTCAGTCTTGCTGCTGAGGAAATTATCCCCACCAGTTTCCACTCTGTACCCATTTAAGCCAGAAATAAGGTGGGGAGGGCATCTTGGAGGCATCCCACACTGCTACTCTTTAGCAGCCCAGAAACCCAGGTTTGGAGTACAGGACCAGGGGCATCCCCTGAGTGTCCCCTACTGCTTCATTTCCAAGGTTGAAATATGCAGAGTGGGCCTTGTTTCCTCAACAGCATAGACCTGTATAATGAATCTACCCAATGGTTTTTATAGAGATGCTGATCACCTACAAACTTTGTTCACTACCAAGCTCCCACTTATTTCAGATAGCACGACTGAATGTCAGGAACCTTTATGTGTTCTCAAGTTGAGCACCCAAGAAAGGAAGCACCTAAAAAGCAATGCTCACATACTCAAAAGTGGCTTTGAGTGACTTGCCCAAGGTCCCACAGCTAGTCTATGGCAGAAGTGGAAAGAGAACCAGTCTCCTGCTTGCCTGGCCTGTGTTCTAATGATAAGGAAGATGCACAGGCAAGCATCCTCTCTGCACGGAAACAGCACGTGGCATCTGCATCACTTAAGCCCTGATGGAAAGCAGAGAGGAATAAAATAGTACATAGTTCAACATGGACACATTTTCATCCTATGTGTGTAGTTAAACTTAAATGTGACAATAACTGCAACCTGCAGCTACTGGGTGGGTTTGGCAGCTGGAAAAATAAGAACAATCTTGGACTGAGGGTAAGTAAGAGAACTTGCCAAAAAATCATCTGAAGCAGGTGGTTCCAGCTTGCAGAAACTCAATTTATATTCTCAAATGACTTGCTGGAAGCTGTGCACAATTACATAAAGAAGCCCAATGCAGGCAAGGCAGATGTTTCAGTGAATGCCAGCCGCTGGAATATGATATCTCGCTCAGTTCTATTGCACCCACCACTTGAAATGGTAATTCAGGAAGTCAGTGTTTAAGGTTCATCCCAAGGGAGCTCAAGACTCGTATCGGGTAGCTACAGGTCTGGTTGGAATGATTCCATGCCCTGCTTGAAACAAAAGGGGACAATAGTGCAGTAACACTTGCAAAAGTTGAGGCTTCTGCATTATTCACAGGCTCCAGATCCAGAGTATTGATCCAGAAAAAATATATGCTGCACGGGCTGCATGAATTGAAAAAAATCAGGCTAATTTTTTTCAGCAGGGCAGCATACTAAAAATGCTACAGAACAGAATGCTTCTGTTTGCAAAGTTACAATCAAGGCGATTTGGGAAATAAAGACCAGGCAGTACTCTACAAAATTTTATAGTGGCATAGCTAGGTTGATCAGGGGAGTGATGAGGTATGATTTGTGACCAACACAGCTATATCCGCCAGAGATACTAGTGTGGGTGCAGTGTTACTATCAGAATGACCCCATTCCTGATATAGCTTAATTTAGTTGGGGGATGAGATGGGAACTGGGAGGGGAAAAAAAAAACCCTATACAGCAGTAGTACAGCTTTGTTAGTATAAGATGCATCCACACCTAGGGGAGTTTTGCTGGCAGAGTATCTTGTATAGCAAATACCACTAACATGCTCCTGGTGTACACCTGGTCAAAGTATTTTAGCCTGGAATCTAAGCTCCTGGTATATTAATGCCTGGAAGATAAAGCCAGTATCAGAGAAACAATGCTTAACAGTCAGCACTGAAGAAATCCTCCTGAGTCACTTGTAAAGTTAAAAGAGAAAGTTTCAAGGTGAAATTATGGAAGATGGAAAACACCAGATGGATAAGGAAATATAAACAGAAGAATAGTCTCACAGATAGGGGTTGGACTAGATGACCTCCTGAGGTCCCCTCCAAACCTAATTTTCTATGATGCTATAATTCTATGATTTTATGTGGGGAACTAGGAAGCAGGTTACAGAGGCAGACACCAAACCAATTAAAATGACAGAGGGTAGGATTACCCTCACTTCAGGAAGGGAACAAAATCTGGTCCCACCAAACAAATAATTTAGGTGCTGAATTTACTGATGCACTTAGAACTTAAATTTTAAGCACATATTGAAAGGCTTGGATGAACTGGAGCCTATAAAAGATAATAAGCTTTTTACATTATTTGCATCATATCACTTGCAGTTTGAATAGTAGTATAAGGAAGAAATGGAAAATACGTTTTTAAGAATTTGGGGTTTGGGTTTCTATTTTTTAAGTATGTTGTCTATTAAAAAAGAAGCTAAAGCTAAGAAAATTTCCTGATAAAAGTTTTTAAAGTCAGTGTTACAGTTGTAAACAACATATCTATAAATGTCAAACAATATAACTAAAACACTGTATTTGTGACTGAAAGTCTGGAAACTAGGATAGTGAAATATCAGAAACTCTACAAATGCTTGCTTAAATTGATTTTAAAGCAACAGCTTTCATTTATATTTGAAATCAATACGCTGCTTTTGACAAGATTCACTATTCTCTAA